TACATCAAAATCTTGAATGCTGCAAAAATGGCCTCAACGGATACGAAGAAGAAATCCACCTCCAAATGCCTCAAAACTGTTATTCTTCATGGTTTTCAGCTTGTGCTCAGCTTGTTCCAGCTGTGGTGCCCTTTCATAGAAATGGCTGTGCTTCAAATCGGAAATCTGGAGCTATTTGTAACCATCAGATATTTAAATTATCTTGCCTTCATTCTCGCGCCTAAATGTCTTAACCCCCTGATATATGGTTTACGGGATGATCAGTTTTACCTTGTTTTGAAAAACTATGCTTTTTGTGGGTTAATTAACAGAATATCCCCTGTCTTTACTGAGAAGTAGTCTTACTAAAATATAAAAATGTTTCGTATTAATAAAATTGTAACAGTTGAAAACTATATCTATTAACACCTGAACTATACTATGTATTTAAACATGATTTCATGCTATTAGTATGTATCTGCAGGCTAGTGAACCCATGAGGCAGAACAGCTGGCTGCCAAGGTCACCATATTCTGAGGGGATGCCGCTTAGCGAACACCTCCCCTCCGCCTGCCCCAAGACGTAATGAAATTGGTCATTGAAACTTGCCGGGGGGTGTGTGCCAGCAGTACATCTTTCCTAAGGCCTCACACATGGGCTTCAACCGGCCCTGTGTATGTGGTATGTATGTTATAACAACATTTTCAAACTGTAAATTCAGAGAGGAAATTCCTTTGCTGAATTTTCTATATGCTGGTGCTGGTGATATCAGTATACAGGCATATCCACATGTCTTTCATTGATTATTTTATTATTCTTATTTGATAGATTTGAACACATTATATGGAAACATTTATGTTGTGAATATATGATCTCATTTTTGCAAAGTATGTGAAAAATGAACACAGTGTGTAGAGCTTAACATTTTAATGTTTCTAAAGGAAATATGGAGATCACAAACCCCAGCATGACCAGATAAGCTGTGTGGATGAATGTATGCAGATCTGCCAGGGTATCTATGTCCTTCTGACACCCCAGAATGTATATATGTATGGATAGATTCACAGCAATTCTTTGGTTTTATCACCCATGTTTTTGATTTAATTCTCTCAGCCAACTTTTAGAACTCCTTAAGAGTCACTGTATGGGGGAAAAGCACTGAAGTTTCACAGATGATTATTCGTACTGACCATTAAACAATTCTCTAATTTAATCACATGATTAAACCCATTAAGCCAATATTATTACCTGGTATGAAAACTATTTATGTTGTCATGGTTACCATCTGTTGTCTAATAAAAGCTTTCTCTGTTTGACATTTTTTATATATTATATTTATAATCAAAAAATGTCATAATGATGATATTTGCCATTTTTACAAATACAGATACATAATAATTCTTTAGTTTTCACCTCATCTTGCTCTCCTATGAGACTCACATAGACATATAGAGGTAAGGGTTTAGGGCCTAAAAGTGTTTGTGTGATTATGAACTTAGGCTTAGTTTCCTGATTTATCTCCAAGTTGTTTTAAGTGGTTCTGAATATCTGTGTTCTGAGTTCTGGGTTTTTTGGATGGACTCTGAATTAAGTAGTCTCTGAGTAAATACTGGGTAGACATTAGGGATGAGCGAGTACAGCATTATCTGTATCTTTATCCGTATCTGTTAACCATGTGAATTATCTGTATCTGTATCTGTACTCGGACTGGGCGGGGGCTAACCCAGAAGTGGGCGGGGTTTAACCTGGAAGTGGGTCGGGTTGTCTTGAAATGGGCGTGGCTTTAATCGGTGTGTTATTTTAAGCATGCAATTGATATGGGTTGATCAGAAATTGTTATATTTATTGCTGATTAGAAAACTATTTACATGACAGCATCAGCATTGAGCTTCAGATCAGTGGTTTTGATCACGATAACAAACGAACTATATACAGAACAAGTTTTGCAACAATGAATACAACACATGCGGTTGCAATTATGAAGTAAAATGTAATGAACAAGACTTAACTCTCAACATAACTTTCTTTTTTAACTTTTAATTTTTTTATGATCAGTGTGATTTCTTTTTTTTGGTTCTTTTTTATTTTTTTTTATTTCCACAACAGGTATGTGCGAGTGTGTGTGAGTGAGTGAGTGAGTGAGTAAGAGAGAGACAGAGAGAGAGAGAAAGAGAGAGGGGGGGGGCAGTGTGTGTGTTTGTGTAGCTTAATTTGTAATATTATTTATATCACAACTACCTTGTTTTTTTTATAAAATACAGCAAGAAAGTGTCAGACACTCAGTGCGTGAAGTAAAAAAAACTGGCTAGAGCCAGCTGACGGTTTAAAAAAGAAAAAAAAAACTCCGACAGGCAGAGACGCGAGTCGCATTCTACAAACAAACCTGAAGCTGAAGAAACCCTAAACGTTAACGGAAAACCCGCGATCCTGAGTGACTGAGGGAGAGACAGAGAGAGAGAGCGCGCTGAGTGAGCAGAGCGGGACACAGCAACACAATAAATCTGTATGTGTGTAGGGGAGGGGCGCTGTGAGTAGTCTATCACAGAACGCAGACACAGTCAGCTACCCAATGAGAATTTTTATTCAATCCGAGCACAGATATTGACTTGTATTACTCGTATGATACTCGTACTCGTCAAAAGTGCTTTATCCGTACCGGATACTCGTTTCAGCCGAGTATCCGGCTCAACTCTAGTAGACATCATCCCGTGGGTCCATGCTGGCCTCCTCAAGCTCTTTCTAGCGGCCACTCAAGGCAGGCAGGTTCATTAATGATTCTTAATAGTAATCTCATTGGGGGAGTAGTCAATACTCCCCCGTAGTAGAAGATGAGGGTCAAATAATGCCAGCCACTAGTGACTACCCTGTGCAACTCTCCAATGCCTGTTTCTTAGGGGTGGACAGGGAATACAGTCACCGCTGGGGAGATGTTGTGCTCGGGAGTAATTCAATAGCACAGTCAAAAGGGCAGTGTAGGGGAAGCAAAGTGGCCTGGGACTTACTGAATAATGGTCTAAGGACCTGGGAGGTGGTAGCAGACAACCTCAAGAACAGGGAAGTGCAAACGCACTAAGACAAAAGGCTGCAACTAATCACAGTGCCTTTCTCCCAATGCATGTGTGGTTTGTACTTATGCAGTCATGGGTGCCCAAATACGAGGAGAGCTTGGGTTGTGTCTGTAATGAACAGGGATATATGTTCAACATGATTGCCTGACAAAGAGAGACTCACCAGGGGGGTAACATGAGTAATGGTGGCCATCAAGTAGCCGTTGAGGGCATGGGCAACCGGGGGGACTAAACCCGGGTGATGGGAATTGTCCATTGCTAGACCAGGGAGGTATTTATGAAGCTTTCATCTGCCCCAGAGTCAATCTGTGATCTGCAATGACCTAGTGAATAGACCCCCATGTCAGGGTGGCAGACAGAAACATGCATCATTCTGAGGAGGGAATTATGGGAACTATGCCCACCAGTGCCCACCAACTCACTGGTGCTCTGCTGGAGAGAGGTAGGTCCATTCAGTTTGCAATGGCTCCAGTGTGGGACCTACAGGGGTAGACATGACAGGCTCATTGATGCAGGTGAAACTTTCTCTATAGCAACATTCCCTCCTGGAGTGGTGAATTCTACTATCAACCCAGAGTCCACCAACTCCTCAAAGGTTCCCAGGATTTCCCAGGTAGTTAACTCTTCCTTGAATTCATCTGACAACCCATGATAGAAGGTGCTTGACTGGGCTCGCTTGTTCCTGCCACTGGTCATCTTCAGAGTCTGGAACATGATGGCATAAGAGACCGAATAGGTCTCCTGGCAAAGCTGCATTAATTAAGCTGCAGGCATTGTACTTGTGTGGCAAGTTTCGTCATCCTAGTATTAGAACACCCTATGACTCATTAATTGATTCTAATTGAGACTGATATTTTCCAAGGATACTTGCTTTCTCAGCACCTCTACCAGTTGCTGACCACTGTGTGGCAAGATCTTGCTGTCATGCGGTAGTGACATCTGCTGGCCAAATGAGAACTGAGAACATGACAGGATTGGCAGGGACATAACCTGACAGGTGTTTGAATAAGCAGGTGACAGTCAGACAAGGAGCAGACAGCGATCAGGGGGTGGAAGACAGACTTGGATTTTAGAGTAAGTTTTGCAAAGTCATTTAATATGCCCCTCCATGAATTGCCACCTAATTGTGATGGAGGGGATTGTGTCTTTTGACCTAGGAGTTATGTTGTCTGGGGCAATCCTGGTGGGGAGGCAAATTGGTCCTAGGTGAGTCCAGACTAAGTGCAATTCATAACACCCCCATGACAATTACCATAAAGGGAGATAATACCCTGGGTGGAAGCTTGTGGGCGAGCACCTAGTGGCCAGACCTCTACCAATGGAGCCCAGCAGGGCATAGCAGGGCAGGGTTACATGGGTCCGTGTGACGATTTTATATTGATAACATGACTTTACATTTTGGCTGTCATGTCCGTGGACGATAATTCATGGATTCGGGATTTTGATGGCACTGACATGTTCAATGACATAAGTACTTGCTTTTGAGGCATGGACTAAGGAATTTGAAGAGGTTACCTGCTTTTGCTGGTCATCCATGATGTTTTGCCATTTGCACTAAGCGTTTTGAGAAATGCACTCGCTGTGATGCAGATGTTGTCTGTTGCGAGAAATGCACCAAAGCAACTGAGAAAAACTGCAATCACTCAGCTCATCCAGGGTACCGTGAGGAATCCAGTTCCAGCCTGCTGTGGTAGAACCCCACAGAGAGATCCGGTTTGCCTAGCAAAAGTACAAACACTCTGATGTAACAAGGCACTGCTCAGGGCTGATAATAATTATTGTGCCTATTACATGTGTTCTTAACTGTACACTAGAGACCTCCAGTTACACCTATTCACAAGGCAGACAGTACAATGAAAAAGTTTGCTGTGCAGCCTGTCCACCTCATAAACCCACACAGAGGCCTAACTCACAAATGCCAGCATCAACAACACTCACTTCCAACTACTGTATAGACTGTCATTCAACAACTTGCACGTGGCCTGAAAGTCTTCGCCACATGTGTTGTTAGCCGGCTAGTTAGCCTCATGTGTTGTTAGTTGGTCCATGCGGCCCCCGTTTCCCGGGGGCCGCATGGGTCGCATAGGGAGGTGACACGCCATTGTGGAATGGGTAGCTGTGGTGAGGCAAGATGTGATTTTATATTTGTGATTTCTAAAAAATATTTAATAACAATTCAGTTCGCATGTGCACTTCACGTTTAATAGCTGTCGTTCTCTTACAGCCACTGGTGGTGAATGGACAGAGTGCAATTATTAATAAAGATATATAGAAATACATAATCTGAAAATTGTGTAGTGCATTGTACTATGTATTCCATGCCTGTGAAACCACACTTTAAGGAACATGTTGATCTCATTTAGCTTTATGGTAATTAGTCCAATTATTCTACCCTTTCCACTTTGAGTGGTGTAATTATAAATGAACATGGATGTTGCTCTCCTAAAACATGTCAACATCTTTGTCTTCTTCCCCTGCCACATACCCATGCTTTATTTAAAGCTGGATAATAAAAATGGGAGAATATGAATCACAGTTTTTCTCGATTGCTTAGACGCACTTCTTAAAAGTAGATCTAACCTCATTCCTATAACATAGCCTCAAAGCTCCACAACCTTAACATTGGCCAGAGCACTGTTTCATTTCTTAATGAGTTTGTGGTAAGTAGCATATTTTTCTAATCACTTAGTGCATGCATCATTGCATAGACGCAACTTGCATTGTATAGACACAGTTCTACAGTATATTGTCTCTAATAAACCAGTCAGAACAGATGATCCTTTTATCAATTAGGAACATAAATTTCTCATTTATATTTGACAATGGCTCATTGTATAAATCACTGCATGCCAGACATAAAGTACAGTGAGCAGTGTATACATTTGGCAGTTTGTTTGAAGATTTCTTAGAAATCTTCCCCTTCCCCCCATTCTACAGGTGGCTAATAGCTAATGATTAATGGATAATTATGGCTAATTATTACCAATTACTAATTGCAAACCTTTATAAGGTCTATCTCAGTTCTGTAGCAGCAAAACAATGGAGCAAGCAGCAAACATAAGAGCAAGAGGTAGAGGTGTCAGAATTAGTGATGGAGGGGTCAGAGGAGCACAGGGAGAATGTGGAAGGAGGCAGGGAGAATCACAGAAGACTACACATATCAGATGAGATCTGGGCCTCCATTGTTAACCATGTAATAATCCATGGCCTACGCATGACTTAGGCTGGGCGAAGGGTCCAAGGCCTTTAACCCCCAGCTCCAGGGGTGCTGAACACTAGCTGTCCCTATGCTGTGACACCCCCTCCCCCAAGCTATGGAGAGCAAGATGGTGTCAGCAAAGAGAAGCATTCCAATGTACCAGTTCAATGGCAAATAAAGTATGTTTTTGAATAATTACAAAAACCATAAAGCACATATTTGGAAAATAAGACAATAATTTTTATGATAATCAAACTGTATGTATGCGTTTAGGATCCGTTGCCAGCATGCCTTTCTAGCTCTTTGCTGTCATTGTACTTTAGAATTCTTTATATTTTAGCATAATTATTCTGTCCTGCTGCATCAAAATATGTAGCCCTGTTGCAGTGCGTGGTGATTGCCTGATTGTTGCACACAGCATGCTTTTAAGCGCACACACTCAGGAAATAATATATGTTTTAATATGAAAATCTGACTTGACATAGATTGCTGATAGTCAGCATCTGTCATGACCTGCTCGTCCGATCCTCCCGTGTGCAACTCCCCCCTCGCTACCTCGTGTGGAATCCCAATGTTACCAGCTGTATCTCGTTGTTGATACAGTTTTTCTCAGTTGCTTTGGTGCATTTCTCCCGACAGGCTTAACATTTGCATAGCAGCGAGTGCATTTCTCAAAACACTTAGTGCAAATGGCAAAACATCATGGATGACCGACAAAAGCAGGTAACCTCTTCAAAATACAAAGTCCATGCCTCGAAAGCGATTATTTACGTCACTGAATATGCCAGTGCCATCAAAATCTGAAATCCATGAATCATCGTCCACAGACATGACAGCCAAAATGTAAAGTCATGTTATCAATATAAAATTGTCACAATCTAAACATTTTCTGATGCACAAAACATCTGAATGACAAGGGCAAGAAACATAAAAATAAAAAACACTGACTGCAGGAGATTGATTCAAGAAGAATATCTTATTGATTATACAGGTACCGTGACATACCATGCACTGCAATTGCAGTCTAGCAAAAAATGCATTTAAATGCTTTATGTGAAATGAAAAAGAAAACAAATTAAAAAATCGAAAACAATATATACATACTGAAACTAATTGCTTTTTACAATTGCAGCCAATCCTGTATATTGGGCCCCATGTTCTCACCCACATCACAACAGATATCTTCCTTTGCAATGCAGCGTGGAAAGAACCTCCTAGAATGTCTTATCCAGCCTCTGCGGGCATCTGCTGTTACATCCCGACATGCAGCTTCCATGGCAGCAAGCAGTATCATTTGTGTATGTGGGTTATGGTCATATAGCTTCCATCTCCAAGCTCAGAAGAACTCATCAGTTGGGCTGAGGAATGGGGAATATGGTGGTAGGAATTCCATCAGCATCCTGGGGTGGTTGGCAAACCATTGTCTGATTGGGTTGGAATTATGGAAACTCATATTATCACAAATGATCACATACTTTGGTACATTTTCTTGACCAATCTCCTCTTCAGGAGCGAGCTCCTTGTAGAGGGTGTTCAAGAAGGTCAGCAGATGTTGGGTGTTGTATGGCCCCACAAGAGGGATATGAGTGTGGACTCCATTGTCCGAAATAGCCGCAAACATTGTGATATTCCCCCCCTGCTGGCCTGGCATGTCAGCAGTAGCTCTCTGTTCAATCAGATTATCTCCTTCCTTTGGCCAAGTTGAAGCCAGCCTCATCCATGTATATGAAAATGGTGCAGGAATCATTAGTATTGTGAAAACATACCAAAAAAGTTTTGTAGAAACTTATAAAATACACTTGATAGCCAATGAGATCTTGTTCAACACTTTTGACTACAATGACTTACACAATGAGAAAATGACAAGTTCGTCTGGAGACTATGCAAAAGAGGGCTAGCACAATACATTTTGTTCATCATGAAATAAGTAACCGCTGATGCATGATATAGCTGAGAATTGCACATAAGCGTCTGCCTGAGTTTACTAAAGCAATTGGAAAATGACGAAAACGGCCAGAAATTGCTGTTATGATGTGCACAACTGACTAGAGGTTGTAGGAATTGAACGAGCAGTTTTGAAAACTTTGAAAACAATTCTGTTGCGAGAAATGCATCAAAGCAACTGAGAAAAACTGTAATTAGTCTGATGTATTAAGTCTGCGTTTCAGTATGTTTCCCCATTTCTGTCATTAATGTCATATCATGTCTGTCTGTTCCATGTTTGCCCAGAATTAAATCCTATGTTTTCCCCTATTCCCTGAGTCCTGCATCTGCTTCTGCGGTCCGTGCCTTCGTGCAACCGTGACAGCATCCTGATATTGTTCAACTTGGATTGCATTTCTTTGGTTTAATTAAGCTGGAACTTATCTTCGAAGTCTGACTTTTTTTATTCAGGTTTGTGATACGTCTTGTGCTGCCTGGGATAGGCTCCAAGATTTCTGCAACCCTCCTCTGGGTAACCAGTCAGAAGACTGATGTATGAATTTACATAAATCAGCCAAACTTTTTTAGTACTGCTTGAGAAGGAAAATATTAGACTTATAGAGATGTATAGATAGGGACGGAGATATAGGTACTGTAGCATGTGTTTTCAGCATTTTATCACTACAGGTAAAGAATTCTATGTTCAAATATGTTCTGTTTCCATTTGAGTCAAGGGTGTACCTGAAAATTGCCATCAGGTTGGAATTTACACACATTGGTATCACTGTTGCTTAGATCCACTTTGTACACAATTGTTCAGGTATACCTATGGGAAATTCATCCTGTGGTAAATTTAGACTATAAAAGCACCACCTTTACCACATAGTTGTCAGTGTTGCACTTCACAGGGGACTTTGAGGACACTAGAAAACACTTGGTTATTTCTAATATACAAGTACCTTATAACTTTTTTTTTAATTTCTAAATGCATTGTAAATTAATATTTAATTTATAAAATTATTTTTAGCTCATTCATTTTAATTTTTTGAAAATTTTTCTCCTATCTGGTGATTTACACTTTCTTGTACAAAAAATATTTCTTCTCATTGTGCTTGCAGTGTTTTCTTTCCAGGCATACAACAAGTGTTTACTGTATATGTGTAAATAACACTAATAATATTTGGAATAATCTGGAAATGTGATGGCTTTGAATAATACAACACTGCATTCCGATATTAACTCTTCTATGAAAAAAAGTGAGAGAATATTAATAGTGCAAGTGTTAGTGATGGTCTTCCTCTATATCAACTCTCTCCTCATTTTCACCTTCTTCAAAGAGGCAACCTTCTACACCAACACACGTTACATTTTCTTTGCTCACACCCTGATTTGTGACTGTGTTTTCCTTTTCATATCTGACCTTCCGCTTGTACTGGTCTACTTCCAAATCCCAATGCCTGCTGGACTGTGCGTCATTATCTGCGTGGTAATGATCATTCTGACTTTCGCTACACCGCTCACCCTGACGGCCATGAGTGTGGAGCGCTACGTGGCCATCTGTATGCCTCTGAGACATGCTGAGATCTCTACTCCTCACCGAGCTCTGTACGGCATCCTGGTCATCCACGCTTTCAGTGTCCTCCAGTCATTTGTTGTTCTTCCAATCTTTGTAGCTTCAGTCCCACTCAGGTTCTACATCACATACAGGATTTGCAGCGTGGAAATGCTCATAGTGAACAGCTGGCAAAGTCACCTCAAGTCTGCAGCCTCGCAGTTCTACTTTCTCATCATGAGCAGCACCATCATCTTCACCTACATCAAAATCTTGAATGCTGCAAAAATGGCCTCAACGGATAGAAAGAAGAAATCCACCTCCAAATGCCTCAAAACTGTTATTCTTCATGGTTTTCAGCTTGTGCTCAGCTTGTTCCTGCTGTGGTGCCCTTTCATAGAAATAGCTGTGCTTGAAATTAATCTGGAGCTGTTTGTAAACCTCAGGTATTTTGATTATATTGCTTTCATTCTTGCACCTAAATGTCTTAACCCCCTGATATATGGTTTGCGGGATGATCACTTTTACATTGTTTTGAAACATTATGCTTTTTGTGGGTTAAATAAGAAAATACATCCCAAGTTTATTGATCAATAGTCTTTCAAAATTTAAGACAAAATAATGTAAAAATATTTAGCTATGTATCATAAAATTATAACTGTTAAAAACTACATCCAGTGACACCTGAACTGAACCATGTTATTAAAAATCAATGCTGGATTATACTATTGGTATGTATTATGTTTTTACAAATTTTTTTAATTAACAGGGGAAATTGCTATGCTGACTTTTATACAATTATTGTTGGTTCTACCGATATCTGTCTACAGGCATTTATTGATTAAATATTTTAATATTCACAATTAATACACTCTGATACCTTATAAGGAAACTGAAAAATAATTTGTTGCAATCATATGATTTCAGATGTTATTCATTCTGTGCAAGAAGGCAGGAGTGGGTACTTCCATGATAAACCATTTGAATACCAAATAATTATTAGAGCCACAGCTACCAATTTGTTTTAACAAATAAATAATAATTCCTGAATATCTTGAAATATTCTGAGGAATGATACTTATACCATTATTTATGAATGTCAGTGTATTTTAATTGGTCTAATGGAATAAACATTAACAAAATGAACTCAAAAGGAAGAAACATTTTCAGTTGTTAGACTGAAGATAGTAACGTGTTCACATGAAATGGTATAGAGCTGTATACTGCAATACCGGCTGCCTGTACATTATCCCGCTTATTACCCGGCTACTTGCCACATAAGGAAAAAAACTGGACATGAATTTGAAACATTTTATTGGCATATTTGTTTTAAATTAACATTTTTAAACGGTAATCTTTGTTGGCGCGGAGGGATTTTAAACATACAAGTAGTACCGGC